CATACACAACAGAAAGCTTAATTTATGTCATTGGTGTTGTGTGTGTGTGTGTGTGTGTGTGTGTGTGTGTGTGTGTGTGTGTGTGTTGAGACAACAATTCTCCATGTAATCCAGGCAGCCTGGAACTCTTGTTCCTTTTTTTTGTGATTCCTAAGTGCTGTGAAATAGCATGACCAGAGCAGAAACTTGATGTATTGAACATACCTTAAGAACTTCTAGTTTTTGAACTTGTTGGGCTGCCCGATAAGATTTAGTTTAATTTGAATTTGAGGAACTGTAGAGATTTTTCAGAGGTTAAGAATAATCACTGGCTGCTCTTCTAGTGGATCCAAATTCAATTCCCAGTACCTACATGGTGACTCACAGTCATGTGTAGCTCCATTTAGAGCAATGGGACTCCTTCTGTCCTCGAAGGGCACCAGACACACATGTGGTGCACAATCATACATACAATGAAAACATTCATGCATGGAAAAGAGTAAATATTTGAATATCAATGAAACAATGAATTATTTATAGTCAAACTTATTCTCAACATTTCCATTAAACTATAATTTGTCATTAGTTAAAAATGTGTGTGTAATTGTATATGTTTATAAAAATGATCATTGTTTGTAATCAAACTGAACTGGATATCTTCTATTTTATTGGAGAGCCTGGTAGGACCACCTGCATGAGATTGAGTCAGCCTTATCCCTCCATATGAACCAACAAGATACTAGGGCTTCAGTGTTAAGACAATAAAACTTTTACAGATCTTTTAGTGGCAGGAGAAAGTTTTGCATTCACACCCTGAGGCTGAGCAGCCACATTCTGTGCCCCTTAAAACATACACAGACACAGGTTCCCCACTTGTCACATCTCCAAGAACTCTCTCTTTTGTGAACATGGTACCATCTCTTCCTTGACAACATGTCAAATCAGACTCCTATTTGTCTGAAAACTGGAAAATCTCACTATGTTGGTCTGATATGAGCCGATTGTTATTCTTGCAGGTTGGTTCCTACCATGAACTGATTGTTTCATATCAGTGACAATGAGATGGCTGATGGGGTAAAGCTGCTAGCCAAGCATGATGACGTGAGATTTGGCCTCTGTGATCGACATGGAGGAAGAAGAGACCCAGTTGCCACAATTTGTCTTCTGACCTCTATACATGTACTATCTCATCACACACTACACCACACACACACACACACACACACACACACACACACACACACACACACACACACGAAATTACAAAAGAAGAATATAACAGTTGGTTGCAAACCAGAGAGTCAGACCAATCCAAGCTGAGGTGCAAGAATGAAATATTAGGGGGCAGGTGAAAGACAGATGCTGAGAGCAGAGGAGGTAAAGCTATGGTTCTGGGCTTCATTCCAGAAGCCACAGGGCTGTGTCAGGGATGATCAGCCAGTGAGGGTCACACAGCTGCTTATAGAACCAGCACAATTCTCAAATCAGGATGCACAAGTCCTTCCCTGAAAATTATTTATGTTTTAAAATTTAATACACATTCATGTGTATGTATATGTCTGTGTGAGTCTGTGCTACAGATGCAGGAGGAAGCCAGAAGAGGGTATCAGATTTCCTGGAGCTGAGTTACAGGACAATGTGAGCCCTCTGATATGGGTGCTAGGAAATGAACTTGGGTATTCTCCAAGAACAATAAGGGCTCTTAACTGCAGAAGCATGTGTCCATCCTCTTCCTTCCCCCATTTAAACCAGACAATCAGCCCATGCTTAATTCCAGATCTCATCCATTTTGCTATCACCTTGCTCTTCCTTGACAGGTCAGTTACTCATCCTCACTACCCAGCCTCAGTGACAAGATCCAGTTCCCATCTTTCCTGCGAACCGTGACTAGTGACCTCACATCCTGCCTTGCAGTGACCCAGCTGATAATTCACTTTCAGTGGTCCTGGGTGATCATTCTGGCCCATGATGATGACTTTGGGCAGCAGGCCAGCTCTCTGGCCACTCAGGAGCTGAGCACAGCTCGTGTGTGCATTGAGTACACCCTCCATGTTCCTTCCCACGAGTCCCTGGAGAAGATTGAGCAGATTGTCCAGAAGATGCAAAAATCCACAGCCAGGGTTGTTCTGGTTTTCCTAAGCAGTTCTAATTTCGAGCTCATCCTGTATGGCTTACTGGATGTCCCTGTCTCAGGCCAGGTCTGGGTCAGCAAGAACATTCTTCACATGGTGCTCACCATCACCGTTCCAGGCATTTCCCAGGTATTACACAGCACATTTGGCCTTCTGTATCACAGCAGCAGGGCAATTGGCTTCCCTGAGTTCCTTGCTAACCTGCGACCCAGCCAGACCCCAGAAGACATGTTTATAAAGAAGTTCTGGGAGTTCACCTTTGATTGTACATGGCCCCACCAGAGCAGCACAATGACAGAGGCTATCCAGTTGTGCTCAGGGAATGAGAGTCTGAAAAACAAGCAGTACCCTTTCCCAGAAGTGAGTAAAATTGATGCTGCTTACACAGCTGTCTACAGCATTGCTCATGGCCTGCAAGACATGATAACCCATGGGCACCAGCATGGGAAAGTTACAGACTCTCAGGACTTCAAGTCCTGGCAGGTGAGATAGACATGTGTGGAGTGGGTGATTCAGGTATGTTTGGGGAAGAGGACATTGGTTTCAACTAGGGTATAGAGATGAAGCTGACTGCACGCTTCAGCAAGGATACCTCCTACTTGCAACTGAGAGGCATCTTAGAATGAACAATGGACAAGGATTCCACGCTATGTGTGACAGATGAGTCCTGTCCCTGTGGCTTGCCTAACTTTGCAAATACAGGATGCCTAGTAAAATTAATATTTCACATAACAATAACATAAACATTGTTTAGTGTCACAAATTTAAGCTTTGGTAAACAGCGGATGACTTTTAGCATAGGCATGCTGCAAAATTAGAATTTTTAACAGATATCCAATGCCATTTATTTATTTTTTATTTTTTGATATATGGTACATGTATGTAGGAACATGTGTGTGAGCATGGAGACACATGTGATGGGGAGCACACTCGTGTACAATATGTGGGAAGGTCTAGGATGATGAGGAATCATTTTTCAATCCTCTTCTATCTTGCTTTGGGGCAGAGTCTTTCACTCAAACTCAGAACTTGTTGATGTGTCGAATCTTGCTAGCCACCTTGTTCTGGGCATCTCCTGTCTCCACCTTCTGAGGATGTAAGTAGAGACTGGCTGCCACATCTACCTGACATTTACGTGCATTCTGTAGATTTGAAGGCTGATTCTCAAGCATTTATGACTTGATTTAATCATGGAGC